AGACGGCAGGTAGAAGCATAGTCGATAAACAGGCCAGGGTCAGTTCCGGTGGAAGGCAGAAAGATGGTTTAGAAGTAATTCATACAGCAAGCAGAGGCATTGTCGGTAAACAGGCCAGGGTCAGTTAAGGTGGAAGGCAGACGCATTGTCGGTCAGTCAAGGCAGCAGGCAAAAGATCAGCACAGATAATAAAAATATAGGTAACTAATATCTTACTAACGTGTGATAATCTCTGAAGCAGTCTCCGATACATACAGTGAGGAACAGAAGTATTTGAACACCCTGCGATTTTGCAAATTCTCCCACTTAAACTACAATGTGAATTTCAGACCCCTCCATGATTTCTGAGACAGAATTAAAAAATAAAAATTTCAGGAAATCACATTGTTTGATTTTTAAAGAATTTATTTGTCTTGCACTGCTGAACATAAGTATTTGAACACCTAAGAAACAGCAAGAATTCTGTTCCTGTTACTGTGCCTTTTAAAAAGTCCACCTCTACTCCACTCATTAATCTAACTTGGCACCTGTCTGAGCTCTTTAAAGACACCTGCCCACCCCACAGTCAGTCAGACGCCAACTACTACCATGGGCAAGACCAGAGAGCTGTCAAAAGACACCAGAGACAAAATTGTGGACCTCCGCAAGGCTGGAAAGGGCTACAGGGCAATTGCCAAGCAGCTTGGTGAAAATAGATCAACTGTTGGAGCAATTGTTATAAAATGGAAGAGGCTAAAGATGACTGTCAGTCTCTCTCGGACTGGGGCTCCATGCAAGATCTCACCTCGTGGGGTATCACTGATAAGAAAGGTGAGGAATCAGCCCAGAACTACAAGGGAGGAGCTGGTCAATTACATCAAGAGAGCTGGGACCACAGTTTCAAAGGTCACTGTCGGTAGAACACTACGCCGTCATGGTTTCAAATCATGCATTGCACGGAAGGTTCCCCTGCTCAAGTCATCACATATCCAGGCCCATTTGAAGTTTGCCAATGACCATCTGGATGATCCAGAGTAGGCATGGGAGAAAGTCATGTGGTCAGATGAGACCAAAGTAGAACTTTTTGGTCTAAACTTCACTCGTCGTGTTTGGAGGAAAAAGGATGAGTTGCATCCCAAGAACACCATCCCTACTGTGAAGCATGGGGGTGGTAACATCATGCTTTGGGGATGCTTTTCTGCGAAGGGGACAGGATGACTGCACTGTATTGAGAGGATGAATGAGGCCATTTATTGTGAGATTTTGAGCAACAACCTCCTTCCCTCAGTCAGAGCATTGAAGATGGGTCGTGGCTGGGTCTTCCAACATGACAACGACCCGAAGCACACAGCCAGGATAACCAAGAAGTGGCTCCGTAAGAAGCATATCAAGGTTTTGGAGTGGCCTAGCCAGTCTCCAGACTTAAATCCAATAGAACATCTTTGGAGGGAGCTGAAACTCCGTGTTGCTCAGCGACAGCCCCGAAACCTGACAGATCTACAGGAGATCTGTGTGGAGGAGTGGGCCAAAATCCCTGTTACAGTGTGTGCAACCCAAGAACTACAGGAAACGTTTGACCTCTGTAATTGCAAACAAAGGCTTCTGTACCAAATATTAACACTGATTTTCTCAGGTGTTCAAATACTTCAGCAGTGCAAGACAAATAAATTCTTTAAAAATCATACAATGTGATTTCCTGAATTTTTTTTAAATTCTGTTTCTCAGAGTGGGAATGCACCAACAATGTGAATTTCAGACCCCTCCATGATTTCTAAGTGGGAGAACTTGCAAAATCGCAGGGTGTTCAAATACTTCTGTTCCTCACTGTAGGTCTGGTTGGGAGGGACACTGGGGACAATGAAAACTGGTATCTCTCCTAATTCCCCCTCTGTTGCATATCCTACATTTTTTTTCCGGCGTCTTCTTCCTATTTCTGATGGTGGAATCCTCTCAGGGAAATGGCGTTCATGAAGTCTGCTGACACAATCGGAGCAAATGGTTTGTGGTGGAGATCCTTGCTGATTAGGGCAGTGATGACATCTTTTATAAATTTGAGGAAGGTGGTAGGTTTTTCCATTGATTTTTGATAGGTGATGTATGCATTAAAAATGGCCATGTGGAAAAAGTATATTGCAACTTTTTTTGTCCAGTAGAGGGACTTCCTTGTTGATAAATATGGCTGCAGCATCTGATCATTTACATCCACCCCCCCATGAATTAATTATAATTGTGGATACACTCTGGCTTTTGGATGGGACCTAGTCTTCTATGAATTTCCACCATAATGTCTTTATGGATAGTGGACAGGGCATAAACATCTCTCCTATCCCTCCACTTCACGGCCAGCATTTCCTCATTCCTAAGACTTGCAGATTCCCCTCTTTGTAGAATTGTGTTCACTAAATTTTGTGGGAAGTCCTTCCTGTTTGTTCGGGTGGTACCGCAGGCCATCGGTTTCTCAAGGTACAGGTGGCGGAAAAGGGGCAGGCTTGTGTAATAATTGTCTAGGTAGATGTGATACCCCTTTTGGAAAAATGTAAAGGCCAGGTCCCAGACAATTTTTCCACTTGTGCCAATGTAGGTTGGGCACCCAGGGGGCTGGAGCTGGGAGTCTTTGCCTTCATACACGAAAGGCATGCACATATCCCGTGGCACTTTCACAGAGCTTGTTGAGCTTCAGTCCATACCTGGCCCTTTTACTGGGAATATATTGCTTGAATCCCAGCCGGCCAGTAAAGTGGACAAGAGATTCGTCCAGACAGATATTTTGGTCAGGGACATAAAGTTCAAAAAATATTTTAGAAAAAAAATTAGCGGGCACATTTTATAGTTTGTCATAGCCAGGTTGATCTCGGGGAGGGCACTGGGAATTATCACTGGAATGCAGGAAGTGCATTATCATGTCACAATGTGACCTGGACCTTACAGATGAAAAGATGGGGATGGGGTGGGTGGACCAATATGAATGTAATTCATTTTTTGCTGTTGATCATAAGGCCCAAAAACAATTTAAACTCCTCTACTGTTAGCCGTCTCCACTCGAATGGACGGGCATAGCATGAATTGGGGTTGTTTGCGATATATTGTTGGGCAAATAGGTTAGTCTGATCCACAATGAATTGAAGGAAATTATCAGGGAAAAATAAATTAAAAACAATTGAGGAAAAATTTTCTGTGTTGGGCTGCACACCTGGTTGTGCAGTAAAAGGGTGGATTGTAGCTGATCCTAAGCTGGAAGGCAGCCAGAGAGGGTTTGCCAGAGCGTCTGGGAGGTATGTTTGGGCCCTGACTCTTGGGGTCTGGCATGATATTCCAGTGCTGGTACTGGGCCTGTCATCCTGGGGTCTAGCTCCGTTGACGTTTGCGGATTGACCATTTGGGTGTAATGGCATTGATACATTGGCGCTGCTCGAGGTTGCCTGGTCTTCAGAGCGTCTTACTCTTTTAGGAGGGACTGCTTCCTCTTCCGATTTGGTCACCGATCCACGGCTTTCTATTGGCTCGTATTCGGAATCGGACGGTGAGAGCTCCCCGCTGCTCTCGTCCGTCATGCTGAGGATTTGGAAAGCCTCCTCACTAGAGTAATATTTTTTGACATCTTGGCTGTATGACAGGCAACTGTGATGGGTACACTGCTGTTGGGTGGCAGTGATGGTGGCTCTGTTATGGGTACTCTGATTAGGCTGCGCTGATGACAGGTACACTGACAGGCTGCACAGGTGTATGCGCTGACAGGTACACTGATAGGCTTCCCTTATGGATGTGCTGACAGGTACGCTGATGGGCTGCTGGACAGGTACGCTGATGGGCTGCTGGACAGGTACGCTTATGGGCTGTACTGACAGGTACGCTGATGGGCTGCATGAAAGGTACGCTGATGGGCTGTGCTGACAGGCTGCACGACAGGTACACTGGGCTGCACGATAGGTACACTGATGGACTGTGCTGACAGGTACGCTGACGGACTGGCGACAGGTACCAGGAATACTGATGGGCTGCCAATAGGTACACTGATGGGCTGGAGACAGGTAGGTTGATGGGCAGCTGTAAAAGGGCAATCAGGGCAATTTGAAGGCAATCAGCAGTGTGGTGCACAGTACTGAATGCTATAACTCACTGTTCCCCTTCTCCTCACACAGGATCCGTTTGTTTATACTTGGGGTCGGCTGTGATAGACAGCTGATCGCAGGGTAAACAGTCAATTTCAGGGCTGAAGGGTAGAAGTGTTGCAGCTTCTGAAAGTGTTTTGTTGTTGTTCGGGTTAGTCACACATTCTATTTCATATATGGAATCACATTATGGGGACAGGAAGTAGGGGCAGTTCTCCCTAGTGGGGTCATAGACAGAAATATAAGCCTGAGAGAAATTTACACTAACTCAAATTCCAAAATTGAAAAAAAAATGGCGGGAATTTAGGCTTTAAATTCAGTCTCTACTATATTACAACAATGTCATATTATTCGTATTAATTTGATCTGTGTATTTATCTCCTGCTTTGCTTCATTTTATGTGAACTTTTGTTCATACCAGTTATGCATTCCAGCTGAAGTGATTATTTTGCAGTTTAAGCTGTAAAATATGTAAAGCTTGAAATGAACATTGCTTGACCTTCATGAAGGTAATTAATGCTGTTATTACAAAGTTGTCACTGTGTGACAACACATTTGAGCTGTAGTTTGACAATGCAACTAATCTGCTTCTTGCAAAATGTATAGATCCTGTTTGTTTGTTTTTTTCAATTACTCTATTGATGTGAAGGAAAAAAAACTTAAAACTCTTAACTGCTTCCCATCTAAAACAATCCCATTTTGTCTTCATATTAAATATAAACCGTTATCTTTCATAATTGCTGTCTCCATTTTATGTACATTATTGTGAAACATCAAATAAACATTTCAAAAATATTTTATTTAGTCATATTAATTGAACAGTGTTGTCTTTATTTATTATAGAGCATTTCTCTTTCAGGATTTAGGCCTAAAGTTCTTATAGCAAAAAGATTCCACAACTCTTAATATATCTTATGAGCTAAGTTGACATAGTAAAGCAACACCTCGTCCAATCCAGTGCTCCTCAGGTTTATCAGAAGGAAGGGTCATTGCAATCACAAAATTAGTTGAGTGTCCAGTAGTGGACAGAGTTCCTCTTCTTTCACTGGTCTTGTACACGGGTGCAATGTAACATGATCGCAGCGGGATGTCTGTTCTCTTGCAAGGCTTCAGCCACATCTGTAAGATATCAGTTATACGGTTATCTGAAGTTTCTTGCATACTAAAAGCACAATATTTAGGACACAGTGTGTATCTTCTCATCAAAACTGACTCATACTGTGCTAGCATTGTGACTTGTACTAATGTCAGAATCTCATTTAAAAGGATCAATAGTTGATTCTCACATACATTGCCCTTGTTAACCGCTAATATAAATGAAGGTGGTTGTAAACATCAGCAAGTCATGCCCCTTTCGTCTGTGTTCTGTTACAATTCAGTCTCTGTTTTCAAGTCCCATCAGTTGTGTGTACATGAGGTGACCTGCAGATGTGTACAGCATACTGGTATATGAAATTTATTCAAGACATACTTTAGGCTGCTACGTGCTTTCCTTCTCCAAAACCTCAGTCATATGCTCCCCTCATTCTTCTTCACACCTCAAGTTGCCTGTCAGTCATCTTTCTGATTCATGCTTTAAAGGTCAGTCTGTTATCCTGCAAGCCTCAATTCTGCCCAGCTTTGCTTTAAATCTCACTAATTCTGTTTAACTCTGTTCATTTCCCAGCATTTTCTAATCTCTTAGAGACCTTTAGGTGGGCTAAATTTGCCCCACAAAAAGTCAACAAAATACAGTGTTGACATTGTTCCAAGCAGAAATTCCATGTTTGGAGCATACCTCCCTGTACACGATCACTGCTTAGAACAGAGAGTATACCTGCCCTGAGCAGCAGCCTGCAACTGATTTTGACTGGCAGCAGGCAACCAGTACCCTTGGCACATTTTTTTTTTTTTTTTGTACAGCATTTACATTTATCTTCAGGTTCTTTTGTTTTGCATATTATGTCAGTTAATCAACCTTGTTAGTTTTGTTTTTTTTTTTTAATTAAAGAATTTGTTCCCAATTTACCCTTAATATTAGGTAGTAAATATGACCCTATATGCTACATTGCTCCTTAATGGCAGAAAATAAATCTTAAAAGTCTGCTTTTAGGACTTCTTCCATATACAAAAACAATCTTCTCTAAAATGACTACATAGGCAGCTACTTGCTGTGACAGGTTTTTCTGGCACGATACTTTCTGGGCAGTAGCTGCACTAACAGTATGGTGTGAAATTCACGTGATCACAGGCACGGCAAAGTGCTGCTACATTGTCCACCACACAAAAAAGGCAAAAAGCGCAAAAAAAAAAAAAATTTAAAAACCCAAACCACCACCGTTGGAGCTAGGAGCAGAAGCTAGATCAGTTTTACATCTTTATTAGCGTCTCTAAAGCCAAAACGTTTTTTTTACCTTGATGCATTCCTTGCATTAAAGGTAAAAAAGTTTTCTGTCCTCCCCCTTCCCTGTGTGAAGGGGAAGAGAGGGGAGAAAAGAACCAGCACTGTGCACAGCCGCATCTATTCTCCCCTCTCTTTCTCTTCAGCAGCACCTGCTGCTGTCAACCAAAGTAGTGAGGAGGGAGCAGGGATAAGCCCTGCTGTGTGTCTATGGAGCATGGGTCCATTGGGGGACCTGAGAAGAGGAGGATCGGGGCCACTCTGTGCAATAACATTGCACAGAGCAGGTGGGTATAACGTTTTATTTAAAAAAAAAAAAAAATTATATATATATATATATATATATATATATATATATATATATATATATACACAGTTGTGTTAAAAATAGCAGTCAGACATCACTAACCTGCTCAGTCACTGTTTTTGGTAGAATTGATATTTCTACATGGCAAATAATTTACTAGCAGGTGTAGTAGAGTAATAGAAATCCAACAGACCCAACAGTCATGACATGCATGCTGCTCATTCTGCGTAATTGAATCACTAATTGAAAGGGGAATGTTCAAAATAACAGCAGTGTGGAGTTCTATTAGTGAGGTCATTCATTCTTTGAAAAACAGGTGGCAATTATTGCCATTATTTAAGGAAGGAAGGCAGCAAATGTTGTACATGCTGGTTACAGTGCATTTCTCTGAAATTCTGAGGAAAATGGGTCGTTCCAGACATTGTTCAGAAGAACAGCGTACCTTGATTAAAAAGTTGATTGGAGAGGAGAAAACATATAAATAAGTGCAGGAAAAAAATGATAGGCTGCTCAGCTAAAATGATCGCAAATGCTTTAAAATGGCAACCAAAACCTGAAAGATGTGGAAGAAAGAGAAAAACTACCATTCGAATGGATAGAAAAATAGCCAAAATGGCAAGGACTCAGCCAACAATCAGCTCCAGGAAGATCAAAGAAGGTCTAAAGTTATCTGTTCGTACTGTTACAATTAGAAGACGCCTATGTGAAGCCAAGCTATCTGCAAGAAGCCCCTGCAAAGTCCCACTGTTGAAAAAAACACATGTGCAACACATGTGCTGTTGAAAAAAACACATGTTACAATTTGCCAAAGAGCACATTGACTGGCCTAAAGAGAAATGACGCAACATTTTGTGGACTGATGAAAGTAAGATTGTTCTTTTTGGGTCTAGTGGCCGGAGACAGTTTGTCAAATGACCCCCAAACACTGAATTCAAGCCACAGTACACTGTGAAGACAGTGAAGCATGGTTGCGCAAGTATCATGATATGGGGATGTTTCTCATACTACTACGGTGTTGGGCCTATTTATCGCATACCAGGGATCATGGATCAGTTTGAATACATCAGAATACTTGAAGAGGTCATGCTGCCTTATGCTGAAGAGGAAATGTCCTTGAAATGGGTGTTCCAGCAAGACAACGACCCCTAAACACACCAGTAAATGTGCAACATCTTGGTTCCAGACCAACAAGATTGACATTTTGGAGTGGCCAGCCCAATCCCCGGATCTTAATCCAATAGAAAACTTGTGGGGTGCCATCAAAAATGCAGTTTCTGAGGCAAAACCAAGAAATAGAGAAGAACTGTGGAATGTAGTCCAATCATCCTGTCTACGCAAAGTGTCGGATGCAGTGGTGTAAAGCACGCCACCACTGGACTCTGGAGCACGTGTTCTGTGGAGTGATGAATCACGGTTCTCTGTCTGGCAATCCGATGGATGTGTCTGGTTGACAGGAGAACGGTACTTGCCTGACTGCATTGTGCCAAGTGTAAAGTTTGGTGGAGAGGGAATTATGGCATGGGGTTGTTTTTAAGGGGTTGGGCTTGGCCCTTTAGTTCCAGTGAAGAGAACTCTTAAGGTGTCAGCATACCAAGACATTTTGGACAATTTCATGCTTCCAACTTTGTGGGAACAGTGTGGGGATGGCCCCTTCCTTTTCCAACATGACTGCGTAGCAGCGCACAAAGCAAGGTCCATAAAGATATGGTTGAGTAAGTTTGGGGGGAGGAACTTTTTTAATGAACATTTTTTTAATGAAACCTGAACTTTTTTTAATTGTAGTATTATGTAGATTAGTAGTGACTAAGAGGCTCTCAGTGCTATCAATCTGCATCCTGATTAACAACTGTCAAGAGAGTATTTCCACCACATAGGGAGTGTATTGGTTTCAGTGAGGATCTATATACGGTAAAATGACTTATGCATTTTAAATATATATTAAAGACCACGTTCCCTTTTAAGAACTCAAAATTGGAGGAGGGTGACAATTCCCCTTTCCCCCTTGCTCTCCACTTTTTTCAGTAAACTGTCAGAGCCAAAACCAGCTGCAGCTAGGATTAATCTGTCTCATTACTAGCTATTGCCGGATTTCCTGCGCAGGTTGGACTTCTTAACTGCATTTACAAAGCACTTAGCCACATGGGATAAAGTATTATATGTAACAGTGTAAAAAGTAGTTATTAATCTTTTTTAAGTAGGATGATCAAACATTGATCAGCATTCCTGATAAGTAAAGGTGAAATGTACTTCAGAAACTAAAAAGATATTTGTAGAGGATATTAGCACCCTAAAAGTACCCAGGTGCACTGGTGCAACTGCCAAAAAAAGGGAAAGAATGAATGAAGAGAGTCATTTTAGTCGTTCAAAAAAGTCCATTTAAAATAAATATAGAAATAAATAAAACTGTGGCATTATGGCAGCATCAACAGTCTCTCTTCCAAGAAGGATATGGGGAGGCTCTCATCAGCAAACCATGTACACGGCTCAAAAAAATTAAAGGAACACTTTGAAAACACATCTGATCTCAATGTGGAAAAATATAATTTTCGATATCTATACTGACATGGACTGGGCAATGTGTTAGCAACGTAAGGATGCCCCATCATTTGATGGAAATTAAAATAATCAACCTACAGAGGACTGAAAATCAAAGTGAAAAAATGATGCAGCAGGCTAGTCCATTTTGCTGAAATTTCATTGCAGCAACTCAAAATGGTACTCAGTAGTTTGTATGGCCCCACGTGCTTGTATGAATGCCTGACAATGTTGGGGCATAATCCTAATGAGATGACGGATGGTATCCTGGGGTATTTCCTCCCAGATCTGGACCAGGGAATCACTGAGCTCCTGGACAGTCTGAGGTGCAATCTGGCGGCATCGGATGGACCAACACATGATATCCCAGAGGTGTTCATTGGATTTAGGCCAGGCAAGTGTGGGGGCCATTAAATGGTATCAATTCCTTCATCCTCCAGGAACTGCCTGCATACTCTCGCTACATGAGGCCGGGCATTCTCGTGCACCAGGAGGAACCCAGGACCCCACTGCACCAGCATAGGGTCTGACAATGAGTCCAAGGATTTCATCCTGATACTTAATGGCAGTCAGGGTACCATTGTCTAGTGTGTAGGGGTCTGTGCGTCCCTCCATGGATATGCCTCCCCTGACCATCACTGACCCACCACCAAATTGGTCACGCTGAAAGATGTTACAGGCAGCATTTCGTTCTCCACTGCTTCTCCAAATCCTTTCATGTCTATCACATGTGCTCAACTGCGAAAAGCACAGGGCGCCAGTGGCGGACCTGCTAATTCTGGTGTTCAATAGCAAATGCCAATTGAGCTCTATGAAGCTGGGCAGTGAGCACAGGGCCAACTAGAGGATTTCAGGCCACCCTCATCAAGTCTGTTTCTGATTGAATGGAAAGAGACA